TTGTGGCGGGCCGGCCCGCTATTTGGCCCGGCGGGTTGGCGGGCTTGGCGGGTTGGCGGGTTGAAATGCTTGGCCCAGCCCGCCAATTTTTGGCGGGCCAACGGGCCGGCCCGCGGGCCATGGCCCACTTTGCCATCTCTAATTTTTAGGGACTAGGAATCTGTTACCTATTCTCCTGGAGTCGTAAAGTTGTTGTGTACATTTTCCTCCACGCCAAATCATGATATTTTTATCCGTTCTCCGGTTCTACTCTTACGGTTCATGAATTGGGCCTGGAAACGGTTTCTGTAACCTAAAACGTTAAGTTTGCAAACTAGTAATTTTACTAATTGAAACTCGTTTGTGTGGCGGACTCTCGCTTTAATTTCTCGCTTTAATTTCTCGCTTTAATATCGGTAAGTCGTTATACTTTCTCTATGCCGATACTGGATCTGATTTATGAATTAAAAATAGAATGCAAACTGTATAATATCGGTGAATAAGAGTGTGCGGAATAAAATGTTTGAATTTGATTTTTTTTTGGTTATTTAGATATTTCTATAACCAGGCTTATTTTATCAGGCAAATTGTGAGTTTTTTTTAAAATTATATTATTGATTATTGGTGCAAAGTATTTATAGATTTTGTAAATTATTAACTTGTTAAAGAATTAATATACTGTTTTTAGTGAAGTTGGTGTTTCCTTGTTTAATCACATTTTTATACACGAGATTTAAATTTAAGATTTTTATTTGAGGGGATCGAGTTTACGCTTTTATATAGTTTTAGACTTATTATTCACTACGCTTAAATTCGAGAATCTGGTGGCCTTTTGTTTGCAACAATAAGAAATGAATCTTGGAAAGTGTATAAGATGTGGAGTTGAGATTCTGAGATTCTGAGAAAGAGAATGAATGGATCTTGCAGAAATGATATTAGTGGTGGGTTTGTTTATTTATTTATAACAGTTCATTTCTTAAGGAACAATTTATTATTATTGTTATTTAGAAAAGTGTGATTATCTTCGTATATATATGACATTATACACGAAGCATTCATCAATACTGATTGCGGCATAATATCTGAAAAATGTTATTTATGTGCGCTACATATAAATACCTAAATAAACATTTTTCTTATATGATATTAAATATAGTACAGTATATATGATATCACAAGTTATAACTTATTTTATATTAAAAAAAGTATATTTATTGAAGTAAATCTATACGGATATCTTTTGTAGTAACCACCTAGTCTCTACTTTTCTTAATCATTATATCCTTTTATTTTAAAAATTTTAAATTTTTTTTAATTAAATTTAATAACTTGAAATTAATGAATTTATACTTTTATACTAATATATAAATGAGATATCACTTTCAATAATTATTTTTAATTTCTCTTTTTATATTAATTATTTTATTTTTTGTTTATTTTTTAATAATTATTTTTTTATGAATAATTTTTCATTATTTTAATTTTTTTAATACAATGCACGTATGAAGTGGACAAGACACGAATAATTATTTTTAATTAGGTTTTTTAATATTCTTTTTTATGACAGTTTTTTTTAATTTTGATCTATTTTAATTTTAATTTTTATTTATTTATAAATTAAATTTTAACATTTTAAAAAGATTATTAATAATTATAAATAATCATATATCATGATATAAGTTCTTTATCATAAATTTAAAATATTATTTATATGTTTAAATATATTTATTTATGTAAATTTTAAATAATAATTTATATAT